GATACGGACCTACCGGGACCGTCAAAGCACGGATCCGGGCCCGTTTACCAAAAATATTGACCGTAGTCAACTAAAATAAACTTTTAAGGCAAAAATTCTTATTTTCATCAGTTTTCAACATAAAAGCTTTTCAGAAACCTGCCCGGACTGCGCACGCAAATCAAGGAGGGTAAAAATGAGATTTTAAATGCTTAAGAGCGCAGATTCGAGTTCTAAAACATAAGATGACCTTTTGGGTCATTACAAATATCCATCTTTGTTCCTATTTTGGCATTTTTAATTTTCGGAGTGTTAGCCCCGATTAGCAAAGGGCCGGAGAAACTTTTTATTTATGAGTCGTGTATAGAACCAATAGGCGATGCTTGGTTACAATTTAGAATCCCTTATTATATGTTTGCTCTAATTTTTGTTGTTGAAATGGTTTTTCTGTATCCACGGGCAATGAATTTCGATGTATTGGGTGTATCTGTATTTATAGAAGCTTTCACAGGTTCTAATTCCATATGCATATACTACCACAAAATAGACCTTTAGCGACAATTTTGTAGGGGCAATAAACTAATTGCCGCTAAAGTATTCACGGAACACAATCTTTAGCAGCATATGACCATTTGTTGGGAAAGGCAGAAATAAATAAGTCAAACCTGGTCTCAAGAGTTTTACGGACAATTCAAAGTTATTAATCACTATTAAAAGTTAGTAATTTTCAATCTGTTCTCCCTTCAGTAACGCCGCAGGTACATGCATTATATATTTCGCTCTTCTCCTCACTCAATTTGGTATGTCAATGTTTATCCTAGCATGTGTAATGATACTTTGCGTCATTGAGATAATGATAGCACTTAATTGTCAGCCTTCTTATTTTTGATTTTTAATCGTCAGTATCTTGCAGTAATGTGTCGTTAATTGCTGAGGTTTCTCTAGATCTAATGTTTGTTTCATTGTTTTCTCTGCCAAATTGATGAAAATTTCTCATTTCCTCCAATTTGTGGATTCATCCATGCATATCTGATCAAATTTTAGAATTATATGTAAACAGTACATAAGCTCCGTGGCTTATCAAAAATTTAAATTAAAAATGAAAAGTACCACCATAGGTGATATTTTGTAGTGCATTGGTAATGTAGGTTATTGAGCTAGCTTATCAAATTTGGTGATTATTTTCACTTTTATGCTAAAGTATTTTTAATTTATTATTATAATTGTAGAGAAGTAATGGTGATGGAGAAAATGATATTGAATGTGAAAGTGATAAGGATATGTAATAGAAGTAAGATTTTTTGTTGTTCATAGAGTTGTTCTTATTATGTTATAGCTTGTTAAGTAAATCGTGGAACTAGAATGTGTCGTAAACTCGACAATCAAAACTTGATAAGGAATAGTCTGATGTGCTTATGCCCTGTTGCTGTTGGAATTAAAATGAATTTGTGTTGAGTGAGTTGCTTTACTGAAGTTTTTTTATTAGGATGAGTATTTGTTTACTCTTTATTTGTCCAGTGAACTAATGGTTAATCTTAGTCTTGGATCTACTTAGGGATTGAGTTTCAAAATGTACATTATCTTTTTTCTGCAGATCCTTCAGTGAAATATTATTGTGTGGCGTATGTTCTGTTGAATAAACTATAAATGTGCAGCATTGAACGATCTTAAGTTCATGTAATTAGGACCATAATTATATATAAAGTGCATAGGTTCTGACTGTAGTTAAACTTTCTTTAATTTGACACTACATATCTGAATATCTGTTGATAAACTATAATTATCTTAATGACTTCTGCAGGTTCTTGAAAATAGATAAGTACATAATTTTGGAGAACAAAATATGCAAACCAGAGTTGGTAGTAGATTGGTCACTGAACAGTATCACGATGAAGAAGTACGGCCATATATTCAACAATTAATGAATGCTCAGAATTGCTCTCCAGCCCAAACTTATGATAATCAATCTAATATTTTGAACAATTCTGTTGGTACTGGAGCTGAGCAGAACAATGAATCAGGTTCTATTTTGAAGTTTTAGTATTGAGTCCACTATTTTCTTAGTATTGCTTTGCACTAGCTGTAGGTTCTGCTAAAACAAGGAGTTAATTCTCCAGCTCAAGACTATTTTCTTTGTGAATTTGCTTGCACTAGATCATGGACCTTTGAATCTGTTTCAGGTCCTTCAGAGGTAAGAAAAGTTTGTGGGCCTACACTACTAAAAGATGTTTGGAATCTACCATCAAGGAAGACAATTGATGTGCAATAGAATAGTCGTAATCAAGCTATTGGAAAAAAGGGTCGAAAGCTTGCTAGCTTTCTAAGTATCATTGCTAGAACCCCAGAGCTGACACCGTTAAATATAAATGATTGGCGAGTATTTGACAAAGAAGAAAAGAAGAAATTGGTGGAGTTTGTGAGGGTATGCAATTTTTATTCTTAATAAGTATCATTCTTTTTATACATGATATTTTCTTGTAAACTCGTGCTTTATTTTTTAGAAAAAGTTCTCGATTCCAGTATGTAGAGAAGAGTTTATAAAAAAGTCAATAGGGAAAAAATGGAAGGACTATAAATGTGATTTGAAGACTATGTATGTGACCAAGTATAAGAGCAAAGATGCCTTGATGAAAAATAGACCAAGTCACATACCAAGGGATCAATGGACTGGTCTCGTCTTGTATTGGCTTTCTGATAAAGCAAAGGTGAGTAAGTTTTTGTGTTGAATCTACATTTTATAACTCTCTGTCCTGTTTTTCTTCTTTGAACCTTTTTGTGTTTATTCAAAGAACATATATTTAATAAGAATGTTTACTTGGTCTTTACCAGTTACATTTCACCCACATTATACCAACCAAAATATTTTTAGAAAGTGCTGCAAACGTTGTGGCAGGTGGTTCAGAATATGAATTTTGCCTTTTAAATATAGCCCCTTGAGCACAATAGATGATTTGGTTATTAGTTTATCTTATATGATTAAGTATTGTTAGTGAGTATTTTTGTGTTGCAATAACAGAAGCGCAGTCAAGCAAATAGAATCAGTAGGGCTAAACAAAAGATGCCTCACACAGGAGGATCCAAAAGCATAGCAACCTTGATGAATGAAAAGGTATTAATGTATAAATTACATACCATAAGATTCTATAATTCTTTTCTATGATATCTAATTGTTTGGCATCAATTTAACTTTATTAGGCTATAGATGGAATAGAGCCTACACGTGCTCAAGTTTACATATTAACTCATACAAAGCGTAAGGATGGTAGACCATTGGATGAGGAATCTTCAAATACAGTTGTAAGATTTCTTATAAGTTGTATTTTTTAAGATTAAACATATGTACTAGCTCATGTCTAATGCATCATAATTTGTAGAGGCTTTAAATGATTGACTGATCCTTAAACTTTTATGTCTCTTCTTCCGGCTATTTCTTTTCCATTTCCATGTCTAATATATTTCCTTGCATTAATTGCTGATGTTAATACAAGTTATGTAAGAAACTGCCTTAACTTTGTTAACTAACATTGACTTTTTCATATGTGCAAATGCTGGCTAGTTTGGTTTCACAATATCTCATCTTATTGTTAGTTCGTCCTCCACTGTATTGTGTCATAAATTGTTATCTCAATTACTGTCAGGACATTGATGAAAGAGAAGTTGAGTAATGGCGAGACATCTCATGAACAACCTCATGGCAGTGTTGCTTGGGAAGGAGATGTGTATTCTCAAGTGTTGGGAAATGAAAAAAGTGGTAATGTCCGTGGTTTAGGACTTGGTCCAACCCCTTCTCTATTATGGGGCGGTAAATCTTCCTTACAAAATATTACCGATGATGGTTTATCTAATGAGGCTGCACATAAGTTAGAACAAGAGATAAAGGAGTTAAAGGACTTGAACAAAAAACAGGATGAAGAAATAGCTTTGATGAAAAAAAATCAAGATATGCTAGTTTCAGAATTAACATGGATGAGGCAAGTCATGTGGAAATATGTTCCCACCAAATTATGTGGCCCTCAAAACTATGGAAGCACTACTAGACAGGTTATTCAATTTCAAAGTTTTAAACTTTTCTTCTTAAAATTAAGCTTTATAAGAAAATTATGTGATCTAATATGTCTTGATATATACTAGGTTCCTGATGCCAATAGTGGCAATGAGCAAGCAACCTAAGCACCACGGATGCTGCAAGTGATAGCAAGTTCTTGTTTCTCGAGTATGTCTATTTTATCATTCATGAATGTATTTATGAAAGTGACAACATGTTCTTTCCTTTTTACAGATTGTTTTTTTTGATAACTTGGTGAATCATCTTCAAGTTGCCACATTCTGATGTTATGTCATAAATTTGCTCCTATATCTCTGGAGATGTCAGTATAAGTCACACTGTATCGTTGTAAAATCCAATACCTTAAGGTCAGTCTCGTGGACAATACTTTCCAGCTGAGTGATGGCATTTGCTAGTATAAGATTATATTACCAGTCATTAACTCTTTCACATTTTTATTCTCAACAAGTAGAGCAGCTCGACACTCATTTGATATGCATTTTACCTGCAAGAAATTCTTACTGTTTGATAGTAAAATGCAGGAACTTACACAAGAATATTTGCCTCAAGGTCACGCAAAGATAGCTATCAAGAATATCACATTCTTACTTGTCTTGCACATTAGGATACTTCATCTTTTACAAGTTGCTATATGAGTTGGTGTATTGAATTTGATAGTTCTTGTTTTAAATGAATGACATGCTTGAGTTTGATAATTCTTGTAGTAAGACATTGTTCTTGTAATTTTTGTTTTTGATATTATAAAATAGTACTTGGTAAAATATATGGATTAAGTTAAATTTATGGTCAATTTTAGTTGTCATAATAATTACCACTAAACATATCCTTTACTGGCAATTATTATACTTTTACTGGCAATAACAAAAGACGCAAAATATAAGTTGGATAGCACATTTTTAAGGCATCTTTAGTGGCTATTATTATTGCCTCTAAATAAATGCCACTAAAAGTTATTAGTTTTAGCGGCAATAATATGGGTCTTTACCTGTCAAATGCCACTAGAGGCTTTAGCGACTTTGGATGCAATGGCATTTAATCAATTGCTGGTTAATGTTTTTGTGGCAATAAATATTGCCGCTACAAGTAAAATATATTGCCACTAAAAGTTTCTTTTGGTGTAGTGAGAATAGAATGGAAATCAAGACCCCGAAGCTTCTTTCGTTCCAGATGATGCGATCATTCAGTAAATCCAGCAATGGGGAGATTGTATTCATTGTGAACTTAACTTCAGGTGTGGTGCTACGATTTCACGAGAAAGTCTTCCAATTAGAGTATATACAAATAGTTACAGAGGATGATTTTGAGTTCTTGTTTATGGGACTTGTTAATTTTCAAAAGAATCAGCAGCAGGAAATCTAGCTCACAGGTTCCTTCTAATTTCCTACTTATAATTGATGGGAATTTGTGATGCTTTATCTTTATAATTGTTACATGTTATTTTATAATGTATCGTATTGTATTATATTATATTATATCGTACTATTTTAATCAATATAACGTTTGTATAAATTATATAATTTGTCATTCATGACGTCACACACCAGCAATATGAAGAATAAACTTAATATATTACAAAGAAAATGTAAGGTACGGGGTAAAATTATTTTATAAAATGATAGGGTAAAAGATAAAATAGGATTATTTAATAATAAAAAAATGCACGATGAGAGAAAAAAAAGTAACAACGCGATCATATCAAATCGGTAGTTACATAAAGTAACACTTTTCGTCGTTAAACTAGCCAAGAAAGGTTTAACTTTTGGAGGAAAGATGAAAATTGCTAAAATAATACTTTTACCAGTGGTACCTAGTTATATCTTTTATGTTTTAAGAGTTCTATCTTCAAATATGCATGGTGTATTTTTGTGGTTAAATATAGAATTTCTAGTACTAAAATATTTTAAATAAATTGATTTAAAGTAATAAAAAGAAAAGTTGAAATTAAAGATGAGAAATTCTTATATGTGTGTTTGTGTGTCATTTAAAGTTCTAAAAAAGAAATGTAAAATAGCATAAATTGTGAGGAATTATTATGTAATGTTTATCTTTTGTGGCGATAAAGGTAGTAACAAATGTATACTTTCTGTGGCGACCCCCTATTGATTTGTCGTCACTAGTAACATTCAGTAATGAAAGTAGTTGCACCAATTGAATAGTCGCTACTTAAACATTTAGTGGCGTCCTGTAGTATTATTGTAGTGAAATATACATATTCTAGAAAAGTTTGCTCTTTTTAAATAGCAAATTAATATTTTTGTTAAATTGCTCACAAAAATGTGAATTCTCATCTTTCAATTTTCTTTTAAGATTTACCAACAGAAACTTTTAATTTTTCAATTTAATATCCCTTGATTATTTCACTTCAATTAATTTTATGCACTATGTTATGGATACAACACTTTATCTTAAGACTAGACATACAGCTTGTACATTTGTAAAACTGCAAGTTAATACGTGTTGGATCCCCTTTTACATAAAGGATTAAACTTTTGATTTGAAATAGATGTTTGTAATTGCGTAATAATTTACTTGCACCCGATGTTTTACTCCCGTGATAAATCTTGTTACAGGGAAACTCCACCATGGGCAGACGTCTAACCCAATATCTCGAAAATCGAGGAATTACTTCCCCATAATCTCCAATGTCTGGATGATACTCTTAATCTGTCAAGAACGACTTGACGACTACAAGAAGCGTCTGACTGCAGTTCCTCAGCCCGCAAGCCGAAAGTTTGACTTGGAACCGAAGATATTTATCAAAGTAGATCAACCAGTTATATTCCTTTTGCGAGGAAAAAAATATACTTACAACAGTTACGACATAAAATTACATGAGAATATGTATTAATTAACAATAATTTAGTGATAAAAATGTTAACGAAGGTTAAGATATGTGACGTATATTTATTGAATTGGTGTAAGTGTAGGTGCTCCTAAGCTTTTACCCTGTTATTGGGTCATATTATAAAGGTAATACACTACTAAATACAATATAAAAATTTTAACTTGTGAGAAAAATTTAAATGCATCTCCATAACGCTTTAAAAGGAAAAGAAAAGACTTAAAACTATTTCCCCTCTTTATCTTTTCCTATAATAGAAAATATATATTCTCTCCGTTCACTTTTACTTGACATGTATACTAAAAATAAATTTTTATTTTTACTTGTCACTTTACGCATATCAAGATAAGATAATTTTTTTTCCCTGTTATACCCACAGTATTTATTACTCATTTCAAATCATTTTCTCAAATCCAATAAAATATGCATCAATTAATATGAGTATCATGGTAAATTATGCACTTCATTAAGATAGTGATTTGATGAACTCTACCACCATGCCCTTACACATCCTCGTCTGGATTGCGTAAATGGCTTATTTTGCTTTTGGGAAAGATCATGTGTGTGGCGGATCCAGAATTTTCATCAAGGGGTGTTAAAATATAAATAATTAGATACATCAAAAAGTCAAGTGGAATCAATGTATAGTAAATAAACATAAAATAAAAAAAAAATTATCTAGCAAAATAGTATAATTTGCCGGCGAAAGGGTGTTGACACCCCTTGATTCAATGTGGCTCCGGTGTGCGACGTTCTGCAATTTTCAATCCCAGTACAAAAGAACTAAGATTTCTTCCTGACCTAAATAAAGATTTTTCTCGGCCTAACTATTCATTAAGTTTTGAACCTAAAGAAAAAAAAGTACAAAGTTCTTTTGTCAGCAGAGCATGTTCAAGAATTGTATAGAAAACACTGGGTTTTAACTTTAGTCGTAGATAAAACATGGAGAGAGATTCAAAGCGTTTCTCCTCATATGATGAACTGCATGCCTAGTGTTTATATTAGTGGAGTTATATATATCGGTTTGTTTACAAACTTGCTATAGCTGCATTTGATGTCAAATCTGAACAATTCAAAATTATAACATTGTGGAATATATGCATCTCGTCATTGTAAGTGGGATTACAAGCTGATTGAGGTAAAGGGTAAATTAGCGGTCATAGATTGTGAAAAGTAGTTAAGTGGATACTCCGACTTGTGGATTTTAGAAAATGCTCAGAGAGAAGATCAATGGAACAATCATATCATTAGGTTTTCTTCAATATGGAATGACATATAGTCTAGAATACAATCATGTCCTCATAAAATATCATTTTGCAAATCTAACGATGGGGAGATTGTATTCATTGTGAAATTAACTTGAGGTATTTTGTGTTTGTGTTATGATTTCACGAGATCAAAGAGTTGGAGAAAAGCAGAAATCAAGGGACTTCCTGAGAAGAGTTATATCATAGACAGTTATAGTTACGTACAAAGTCTCATTCCCATTGGGTAATTTTGCAGTACTCATTTCCAGGTTTAAACTGGAAGGAATTTTAAGTACTTATGTCTTCTTTTTCGTTTTAACTTGGCTGGTTCTTGATTCCCATTTTAAGTTATATGATCATTTTGTTAGGGATACAGTAGATATGCCCTAGATCCATTCTCATATTTGATGATTTGAATATATTTTTGTAAACGTTATTTGATATAAAAATATATGGCATTTGATATTCTTTTATCATAGTTATTATCAATTGCTTGATTAATCGAATAAGGTCTTGAGACTTGTTATCATGATAGAGATCATGATAATGAGAGTGGAGTTTCTTATAATTAAATCTTAATTTTTTCTTGATCGTAGGATTATTAATTTGGATATTAGTAATCCGGTTAGATCAATATTTACGTGATCGTCTTTATTGGAAAAAGATTACTTCATCTCATTAGCTAAATCACATAGATAGATGATGCATATAGAGATATGATCATTGAACCGACTCATTGAATAATTCCTAATGGTTAGAATTACCATAAACTGTCAATAGGGTATTCTCTTGAAGAATTNGAGAATGTGATGTGAGAGATTCCTTTGACCTCAGATCGTCATAGTATTAACAAGTTATTTATTGTGCTTTGATACTAGTGTCACGATCCAAAATCTCACCTGTCGTAATGGCGCCGATCTCAATACTAGGCAAGCCGACAAACTCAATAAACCACCATATCTTTTAAATTTGAAAACATAAATATTAAATTCAGCGGAAGAAATTCCTCACAAACAAAAATATAAACACTCCCAAAACCCGGTGTCACTGATTACATGAGCATCTAAATAATAACAAAGTCTGACGGATAAGAACACTGTTTGAAAATACAGAACAATACAATAACTGAAAGGAAAGAGAGTCAAGGTCTGCGGACGCCAAGCAGCTACCTTGATAGTCTCCAACAGATAAATCCTCAAATCTGGCAACCGCCGTATCCAGAAGTACCTGCATCTGCACACGAGGTGTATAGTGTAGTATGAGTACAACCAACTGAATAAGTAACAAGACTAACCTCTGGGCTGAAAGTAATGACGAGCTCTGCAGGTACAGTCCAGCAAACTCAAACTTTTCCGAAATGATCTGAAATCACCCTGAAACTCATTTGGAACCTCCCGGACACAAACCATATATGAATTTCAATCATAAAACATGCTACGGACCTGCTCGCGCACTCACAACACTGAAAAGAGGTCATCTTGACCCGATATTGACCATGGTTAAACTTCCAAATTTCTTAATTTTACTAGTCTCTCAACCAATGATCCAAAAATACACCCAAGACCCTCGGGACCCGTCAAATCATACCAACAAGTCCTAAAATATCATACGAACTTAGTCAAAACTTCAAATTATATCAAAAAATGCTAGAACCACGAATCATACCCCAATTTAAGCTTAATGAAACTAAGAAATTCCAACTTCTACATTAAATGTCGAAACCCATCAAATCACGTCCGATTGACCTCAAATTTTGCACACAAGTCATAAATGACATAACAAACCTATACAAATTTTCAGAATCAGATTCCGACCACGATATCAAAAAGTCAACCCCCGGTCAAACTTCCCAAAATTCAACTTTCGCCATTTCAAGCCTAATTCCACTACGGACCTCCAAATCATAATTCTGACACGCTCCTAAGTTCAAAATCACCCAACGGAGCTAAAAGAACCATCAAAATTCAAATACGGGGTCGTTTACACATAAGTCAACATCCGGTCAACTTTTCCAACTTAAGTTTTTAATTATGAGACTAAGTGTCTCAATTCATATCAAAACCTCACCGGACCCGAACCAATTACCCAGCAAGTCAGATATCAACTATAAAGCATAAATTGAGCAGTACATGGGGAAATGGGGCTGTAATACTCAAAACGATCGGTCGGGTCGTTACATTCTCCCCCACTCAAACATACATTCATCCTCGAACATGCCAAGAGTTGTTCCTGGCCTTCAAATCTCTATTCCACCTTACCATGCACATACTCGGTGGTGATCCCATGCCACCTTATTCCATATAGGCCTGACAATACCACATAATTGAAGATCATTACTTCAACCTTAGCCTATAAATCTTGGAATTTAATTTTCAACATTCAGAATTTCTTTTCAAGATCCGAATATCACATCTACACATTGTATGAGTATGAACAAGCTGCATCAAGCCATAACCATAACCCCATATATAATCACATAACATACTACACAACTCGCATGCTCGCAGCACCATTTTCGATCACAGTAACTACTCCAAACTAACTCGGTAATAGTATTAAACTCCATAACAAGCCAAACCTCATTCCAAAACCTTCATACACTGCTAATAGTGAAAGAAACACGTGGAATCTCATAACCCCTTATCAAATCAACAAATCATGGAGTTGTCTTGCCCCAACCAGAATCATAATCACCTTCTAAGTCGACTTTCAATATTATCCTCCCAATATACTGTAATAAATCTGATAGTACTCATTCTAGGTCCAATGGCCATATATTATTAAACACAACTATCTCACTGACATGCCACACCAATACAACTCAAGCCACAACTGCGCAACCTTGTACCCAAAATGGGAGATGTCTCAAAGTAGAGAACCGTATTGCAAGTTCAACAAGCACCACCACAACTGCAATGTTATAAGCTCATTATATATAGTAGAACCAAGACACGCGAATTTAACAACAGTAACCAGCTCTTCTAGAGCTCACATTAACATCACTCGCATGGGAAACTCACGTGCTATAGTATTAATATATGAATTCACACGGACAACTTACATGCCAATAATATAAGTATATGGATCCGCACGGACAACTCACGTGCCAATAATATAATCCGCCTGGCATGGTCACATGCCTCAAGTCCAAGCAAATCATACCTGAGCAATCAAATAAGTACACCTGTATATGATAAATAAATTATGATTCTCATGCTCCTGAACTGGTATAAATAACACGCCATAGAGTAGGCAGGTGCAAAGTGTGCTATCACCATTCAAATCGGCAAGTTAACGCAGAAATAGTAATTACCCAATTTATTCAGGGAATTAGCCTCTTTGTAACTTCAAGTGTAGTCTAGATAGTTCTCGACAAAGGTACGAATACGAGAAAGGTTATCACTTTACACTTAACAGTCAACTCTAGGCATATCTTTGCCTAAGCATTCTTCTGAGTAAGAATACTTACCCTGATACCCGCACATAGGCTCAAACCTCACATATATGTGTACTCATAGCGCGTAGCTATCATAAATAATTAACGCAACTAGTGCCTCCATTGAGTTTTAAATAAAATAGTCACCTCAATCAGGTCGTAACCCCGAAACAATATGCTTCTGAGAACTCCCAGTCTCCAATTTCATAGAATACATGAATCACCGTAACTGGTCCCAACTCCAACACTCAAATGACTAACACATATTTCATGCACAATCTTCCCACTAGGAATACTTTCAAAATTCTTCTGTGCCACATAGCAATAGCTGGAATATCAGCAGTCTATCAACCAGGTGAGTACCACAATACCAATGAACATCCGTAA